TTTTTTTTTCTATATAAAATTACTTTAATTAATTTATTTAAATAATTTTTATTTATTTTATTAATAATAATATTTCTCCTTATTGAACAAAAACAAAATAAATTTATTAATCAATCAATAATAATATTATATTATATCAATATTAATAAATAATGAAAAGTTTTTACATAAAAAAAAAAAAAGGAAACAAGATCACAACAAAACTTTTTTTTTTTTTTGGTTTATTGTGTTTATTATTATTATTATTATTATTATTATTATTATTATTATTATTATTATTATATAAAAAATTTTTTTTTCTGCTTGTACACATCCATCAAATTAATACATTTCCAAATTAAGGAAGAAGTAGTCAGATAAAAATTAGACATTTTATTTTTAATACACTAAACTGATTTTTTTTTTTTTTTTTTTTTTTACCAAGTCATTTGTGTTTTTCTTTCTTTCTTTCTTTCTTTCTTTTTATATTTTACATTTATTTCTCTCTCTCTCTCTTTTTAATAATATTATTATTATTATTTTATTTCACTGCCTTAATTGTATTATTGTTATTTTTAGTATTTGACGTTTAGTTATCTTTCTTATAACTTCCTGTTAAGCCGTGAATAATTTAAAAAAAATTTTTTTTTTTTTTCTGTACCTGTGAAAATTTTCGTACCTGTGAAAATTTATTTATTTATATATTATGTAAAAAACATGGTAAGTATTATATATTACCATGTTTATATATATATCGTATATATATATGTTTATATATATATAGTATATATATACTATATATATATATAGTTATATATATATATAGTATATTTATATATTTTTTTTAAACCTCATCGATTGATTTTTTTGTTAACATTAAAAATAAATAAATAAATAAATTGTACCCGGCAGGAAATGATTTTGCTTTTTTTTTCTTTTTATTTTGATTGTATTTAAAAAAATTTTAATTTAATTCAAATCAAAAATGAATTGTGTGATAATAATAATAATAATAATAATAATAATAATAATAATAATAATAATAATAATAATAATAATGAATGTTTGATGCGTGCATTCAAATTAAATTTAATTAAATTAAAATCAATATTGTTGACAAGGATTGTTGTAATACTTTTACTTATCATTATCAATATGTCAATTATTATTTATTATGACATTATTATTATTATTATTATTATTATTATTATTATTATTATTATTTAAGTTATCAATCATTGTTTAAAATTTAGAAAAAAAATAGGCAATTTGAATATTTTAAATGATTTTTTTTTCTTGTAAGAAACATGAATGAAAGGATTTAAAAAGAGAGGTTGTTGTTGTTGTTGTTGTTGTTGTTGTTACTGTTGTTGCTATTGTTGTTGTTGTTGTTACTGTTGTTGTTGTGGTTGTTGTTGTTGTTGTTACTGTTGTTGCTATTGTTGTTGTTGTTGTTACTGTTGTTGTTGTGGTTGCTGTTGTTCTTGTTGTTGTCGTTACTGTTGGTGTTGGTATTGTTATTGTTGTTGTTATTGTGGATGCTGTTGTTGTTGTTGTTATTGTGGTTGCTGTTGTTGTTGTTGTTGTTGTTATTTGTTTTTTTTTTAGTATTTAAATAAAAAATTACTTTAAGTAGTATTACATAGTTAATGACAGTTAAATTTTATTAACTTTTTTAACGGTTTTTTTTTTTTTTTTTTTTTTTTTCAGGATACCAACGACTCCATCGAATCAACATCCAATCAAAATATATTTTATTATATTTTATACATCGGAGCCATAATTTTGATGTGCGTGATCGGATTTTATAAAAATCAATTCAATTATTGGAAGAATAAAAATGTCAAAATGACAAATCCGTGGTTTCCAATGGGTGACATTTTCCAAGCTGGATTTTATAAAAATTTCGGAATCGTATTGAAAGAAATTTACGATAAATTTCCTGGAGAAAGATTAAACGGTTGTTGGTTTTTTTATCGTCCCTTTTTAATGATACGAGATCCAGAATTGATAAAAATAATTTTCGTTAAAGATTTTGAATATTTTAAAGAACGAGGAGTTTATTTGAATAAAAAAATTGATCCGTTGGGAGGTGAGTGAAATTTTCCCATCCATTTTTTTTTAAAAATTAATAAGTATTGTGGAATAATTTTTTTTTTTTTTTGGAAAATTTCAGCAAATCTTTTTTTTTTAAAAGGAAAAAAATGGAGAAATTATAGAACGAAATTAACGTGTAATTTTAGCACGGGTAAAATGAAAAAAATGTATCAAATCATGTTGGAAAAAAGTTTAGAGCTGAGGGAAAATCTTGAAAAATTTTCCGACTGTGGACAAACAATTAATGTTAAATATTTTGCCGAAAGATATACAAATGATGTTGCATCTTGTTGTCTTTTGGGTTTTCAAGGAAAATGTATTCAAGATCCAAATTCAATTTTACCAATAATGGGTAATAAAATATTCGAACCCAGTTGGAAAACTCTTATAAAAAACTCAATAAGTTTTCTAGTACCCGACATCGGTATTATATTCCGAGTAATTATCATCATTATTAATTAAATAAAAATAAATAAATAAATAAGTAAAATAAATTTAATAATATTAAATTTATAATTTAGGTTAGAGTTACTCCCGATGACGTAACTTCATATTTTACCCAAACTCTTGAAAATGTTATTAAAATGAGAGAAAATGAAAATAATAATAATGATAATAAAGGATACAATGACGTAATACAAATGTTTATCAATTGGAAAAACGAAAATCATTTGTTTTCTAACGATAGTAAAAAATGTACGAGTTTTTTTTCTTCACATTTTAAAAAGTTTTCCCGAAGTATTTTACAATAAAAATAATTTAAAAAAAAAAAAAAAAATTTAAATGTCTTCAGATGATTTTTCTTTTACCATTGAGGATGCAATCGCTCAAGCTTTTATATTTTGGGTGGGAGCTTTCGAATTTACTTCTTTAACGATACAATTTGCCTTATATGAGCTTTCGATAAATACTCAAATACAAGACAAAGCAAGGAAAGAAATTAATGAAATTTGCGAGAAATTCGATGGCATATTAACGTACGAAGCTTTATCTCATTTAGAATATTTAACACGTGTTGTCAACGGTGTGTACAATTAAAAAATTATTAAATTTGTTAATAACGAAAATTTTTCTTCTTATTTATTTATTGTGTTTTCCCTTAAAGAAACCTTAAGAAAATATCCACCGGTTCCACTTTTGTTAAGAAAATGCGTGAAAGAATACCGAGTACCTGATTCGAATGTCGTCATAGAAAAAGGAACACCGATAATAATATCCGTTTTGGGATTACACATGGATCCAAAATATTATCCGGAACCGGAAAAATTCGATCCTGAAAGATTTACCGATGAGGAAAAAATAAAAAGACATAAATATACATATTTACCTTTTGGAGAAGGCCTTCATCAATGTTTGGGTAAAATATTTCATCACTTTTTTATAGTCACGTGACTATTTTTTTACCTTATTAAAATTTGTTTTTTTTTTTTTTTTGTTCCAGGTTTAAGATTTTCATTGATTCAAATTAAAATTTGTTTAGCTAATTTATTAACCAAATATAAATTTGATGTTGCTTCTCAAACGCCGAAAAAATTAAAATTTTGTCCGAAATTAATTCTTTACACGGTTGAAAATGGAATTCCTTTGAGGATAAAAAAATTACAAGATCATCAACGTACCTAGTTGTAGTCTCTCACATTTCAACACGTTATTTATTTATCGATAAGAGTAAAAAAAAAAAATATCGAAAAAACTAATGTAAAACAAATTCAAACAAAAAACAAACAAAAAAAAAAACTTAAATTATTACGCTAATGTTTAATCGTGATTCCGGCAGATGTTTTATAATCTTCCAATAATCTTCTTGCATAACTTTTATAATCTATGGGTTCCAAATTTACAACCGTAGTTTTCAACCTTTTTTCATCATTGTAAGACTCCATCTTAGTTCGAAATTTCATTTGAAACTGTTTGAAATTGATATCGTTGAAATATTCCTAAACGAAAAAAAATTTAATCAGTTTATCAAAATAATTATATAAATAACAAACTGTAAAGTAAAAAAAAAAAAAAAAAAAAAAAAAAACGAACTTTATACGATTCATCGTTATTATCCATCATTTTTCCAATAATTTCCGCATCGACTCCGAGTAATTTTTGTGCTTCCTCGTGAAACATGGTCACCCAACTACTCCCCGAATAATCACTAACCTGAGCCTAAAAAATAATAACCTTTAGTTACCTTGAAAAAATAAAATTATTTTATTTTATTCAAATGATGATGATGATGATGATAATGACATACGGAAAGAAGCATCCGATATTTAAAATTATTATGTTCTCTGTTACATTTTTCGCAACGATAAACTCCATTATTTAAATCGATAATTTTTTTTTTACAATCTTCGACGGGACAAGATTTATAAATGCAATTTTCTTGTTTTGCCATGAGAACATTAACAACAGCGGAAAAATAATCGGCTTTATCCCCGAGACCGAGTCCCTGAGAAGTGAGATCTCCGAATAAAACCCAATTTGTATTCGATCCTGTAATTAAAATTGAATACTTTTACCGAAAAAAAAATTACTCTTCATTACTTTTAAAAAAAAATGTAATAAAAACCTGATCCACTTGTTCCTTTATTAGAAATCGAAGAGCATTCTAAGGTTGAACCACCGGATGCCCACCAACCTCTGAGTTTATGCGCTTCATCTATGTCTGGATCTCTCTTTAAAAAAAAAAAAAATATAAAATGGATGATTATTTTTTCAGGTAAATTTAATTTTCTTATAAAAACAAGTGTGATATTATTAAAAAAAAAAAAAAATTCCTAACCAAAACGGTAGAATTCATTTGAACCGAAAGGCTTTTACCACCCATAAATTCAGTTAATCGAGCACTTTTGACGGCAACGACAGGATTTTCAGAACAATCAAATCCAACAGCTTCACTTCCCCAAAGCGTCATTGAAACCTAATAATTAACATATTACCTCTTTAATAAAAGTTATAATTTCTTTTCTATAATAACAAGCAATCAATCAATCAATCAACTCACGCTGGCACCACTTGAATCCACTAAAACTACTTCTCTTTTCTTAAGTTCCCTTCCGGTACTTCTGGCTGTTATGTTTTGAACATCCGTGGCGTGTTTCGCTACTCCTATCACGTCTGAATAAAAATAAATACTGTTATTTAATATCCGGAATAAAAAATACAACGGTATTATATTTGTACTAACCCACAATCGAATCAACGCTCATTTCGATTAATTTTGATATGGGTACAAAATTATAAACTGCAGAAGGTAAACCAACATCATCTTCGCAAGGTTGAACCTGATTTTCAAAAAAAAAATTTTTTTTTTAAATTAATTTTTAATTGACAATTTTGACAATTAAATTTATTTTTAAATTTTTATTTAAATTATTTACGTAAGAATCATCCTGAAATGTCATCTCATAATCGGCTTGAGTAAATTTTTTGTTAGCTGGTTTCACTGAACAATTGCTCACTAAATAAACTTTGTTTAGCTAAAATTTAAAACAATTAAAACTTTCAGTTAAAAAGTTTGAAAACAAATAAGTGTAAAAAAGTTTCAATTTTCTTAAACTTACTTGTAAAAGATCGGAAAATTTATCAACAGCTGAATTAAATCCGGTGCATTTTATCTCTCCTGATTCATCAGTAAAAACTACGGAAAATAATTTTCCTTCTCCTCTAGCACTTGAATAATTTCTTGGAGCTTGTTTATTAGTAACTCTGGCTTTGATGCACCAACGATTTTGATAAGGACTCAAACTTGAAATTGGATGAATGGTTCCTGTAGAAACCTGTGCAGTTAGTTTTGGTTTATTCCCAAATGAAAATCCTAAAACAAAAATGAAAATATTTGTACAGACTCTTTTTAAGGTTCTTATAAAAATCTTAATTTTTCAAAGAGTTTTCATTTTAAGACAAAATATTTAAACATTTTATTTATGTAAATCTTTGTTTCCAGCTTTTTGAAAACTTTATATAATGCTGCTAGAAAAATTTTGTTTTTTTTTTTTTCTTAATAATCTGATTGATTAAATTACCCTTATTTGCTTGTGGTTTAGTAGCCTGAGGTTGATTTTCAGGAGGCATTTCTGTTTTTTCATTAGAATCCTTTAATCCTACT